AGAGAGAGAGAGAGAGAGAGAGAGAGAGAGAGAGAGAGAGACTGAGGAGGTAGAGGTGCAAACCTGATTGGTGGAGGCAGTTGCGAAGGGAACGCTTGTGGCAGATGTGGTGGCTGCAGACACAGTGGCTGGAGTACCACCGTGCATCATGGGAACTTTTTTGGAGGGAAAATCATGTAAGCAAAAAATATACAGGAGGAGCAGTGTAGCCACATACACACCAGGCAAATGAGGGAAGGAGAAGGAGAGAGAGAGGAGGTCAGAGAAGGGTTCGATTTAACTGGTTCCCTTTCTTCCCTCTGCCAGCACTGATAAGGATCAAACAGTCTGAGATCGCAGTCTGGCAGCAGCAACTTACTTCCATATTTGCATGTAATAATAGTAAACTGCTGCTGTACTCTTCCAGTAAAGAAAAACAAAAACTAGAATGTGGCAGAGGGAGACAAAGGTCACCACTCTAACAAACCCCCCTCAGTTTTGTTTAATGTTTTCAAAGGGTTTCTACAGGTGTCAGGTTAAACCAGCCAAAAGCCAAGTTTAGAACGAGCATGAGGACAAGTGTGGTCGAGCAATATATACGGCAGAGAGGTCAAAATAACGAAGCTCAGTTAAACCATGAGGATGTTTTTATACATGAAATAAACAACATTTATATAAAACATTATTTGCTTTTGCCTCAAATCACGGAACCAAAGGACTGACTCTCAGGTCACCAAACAAAAATGCTTACAAATTGTCTATGAACACAACAAAGTACATTTCACTAAAACTGCGACTCAAACAAACAACAACTAAAGAAGGAAAGCCGGGACCTACCAACGCTGGCTGCAGGTGTCATGCACAATATTGAGCCTGTCCATCATGCAGTGCAACAGGAAGTGGATTGGATAGGGAAGAGAAATCAAAACAGCCCATCACAAGGTTCATTAGAGTGAAGGGAGAGATAACGTGGGGAAAAAAAGGTTAATATCTCTTGGACACAGACATCAGTGATTGGAAAAGGCGAAGAGGTAAACTCATCATCAGAAAACCAGTTAATTAAGTGAATCTACAGTTTCATCTTTGGTGTGAATGACAGAGTGAGAGCAGGGCTATGAGTGTAACTACAGAGCATTAAACATTACATACATACTCTAAAAAGAAGTGAGAGGAACAGCAGATGTGTGCAGAAGCCAGACTCTTCAAACTGGTGTTTGTTACCAGATACCATTACCCAGCCCCATTCATCCCAGCCCAAGCCGAAGCCCCTCTTCGAAATATGAGTGATCACACCGTGAAAAGTCTAACAACCTACTAAAAAAAAAAAACTAAACTAATACAAATTATTTGGATTACTAGTATTCATACCTATCATCCTGGGCCTGCATTTAATATGGGGTGAAGGTAGCTATAAAGAATTATATTAAGGCAATTAGTTGACAGATTGAAATAGTGACCCATTTTAATACCTACTGGCCATGCAAAGCCGGACAAAGCATAAAGCACATTTTTTCAAAGCTCTCTTTTAACACTGAAATACACACATGCAATCCCTGCAAGCCTAGATTAAAATCTAGAGTTATCACTTGCCTATTCTTTTTTTTAAAAATCCCTCTTTATAAAAGAAAAACAAAATCTGCTCTGTACTGCAATCTACCACTCTGTCCGATCCCAGCCAAGCAGGAGCCAGGTTAGACTGATCCAGGCATCCACTCAGCTGGTAAGAGCACTCGTTGTGGTCGCTTTGGGAGCCATACCTGATGGGAGGAAAGCAGCCTGCTGCTGAAACTGCATGCTGGCCAGGGCCTGTTGGTACTGGAGCATGCCGGTGTTAAACACGGCAGAGGCCCCGTTGGCCTTCTCCAGGGCTGCCCGCTTTGGCAGGGGAGCCATGACACTAGGGGCGATGCCCTGCCCATCCAGAAGGAGGGAGGTCAGTGAAAAGGAAAATAAAAAAGCCAGAGAGAGACAGAGGTAAAAAAAAAAAAAAAGAGGAAAAAGTAAGACAGAGAGAGAGAAAGAGAGAGAGAGGGTGTGTTGAAAGAGGCAAAAACAGGAAAGAAAACAAAAGAAGGTACATACGTTAGAGGACATCCGAGGAGCACTGTCACAACATCCTTGTGTGTACAACAATAACAATATCATTATATCATCAGTAGCAAGCAAGCAGCAGTCTGACACAAGTACTACACAAGCAGGAGCATGGTGCCTACTGGAGCTATTAGCTAACAAGCATTCATATGTTCATTACATTGGATTGTTAACTCTGCAGTCTTAGGGCTGACTAAGTGCAACATAAGCAAGCATTAACTATTAAAACAATAAGGCTGCTAACAAGTGGTGTAACAGGTAAGAAGCACAGAGAAAAGGGAGGCTGCACTGCTAGCTCCATGATAAACTGTGTAAGCATGTTTAAGTGATGGTTCACTCGCAGACAAAAACGTCAAAAATGGTCTTAGGCCAAGGGACGTAACTCAGAAAGCGGATCCCTGCTGTTTAAAAACCATGAGCGCTCTCGCGTGCGGGCTTCATCTTGGCTTGAGGCCATTCTTGAGGTCTGAATATCCGTGACAACATTTGGTGATGGAGTGAACTATCATTTGAACTGTAATAATCTGTTACGGTGGGATCACTCCTGTATGGTTTTAAAGGCTTTCCCTCTTAGCCCGCTCACCACCACCACTATCACCACCCCCACCCTTATCCATCTGACATGCACTAGCGACACAGACATGCACACATTTGATTGAGCTGCTCCACAACACTGAACACTGACTTAAGACGTTACACTGAAGCCATGCCACCGTTTATAGAAATTCTACTTCCTTAGCCCTCACTGACTGTTGTTAGAAAAGCTACGGGTGATGAACTGATTGTGGCTCCGAGAAAAATGACACATTTAGACTTGGTGCTCGAGGTGATCTGTACAAGAAGAAAAGCTGTTTTGGATGCGACCGTTGGGTTTTTTTTGTAACCCCGGAAAGCCACAATCACTTTATCACAGCCAATCATGACAGATCAACAAGAGGAAAAGACAGACATTGCACTGAGACAACGACAACAGAAATAGCTAGGTATCATTGGTTAAAACACTGCGCTACAACAAAGCCACATGCCAAGCTAAAAGGTGAAAGGTCATAGTACCAGGTCAAAGGTTGCGTCGAGGGGTCGCTTCAGTGATTTGACAGCCGACTGAGTCTTAATTAGCAGGCAGCGAGCACATGATGGCAATGGGCCAATGGGGTTCAAGCGCATTAACATAAACCAGCAAGCAGAGGTGCATCATGGGGGCAGCAGTGCAGTTTGGGTATAGGTGAGAAAAACAAAAACAAATAAAAAAACAAATCATTGGAATGCAAATATACAAGGGGATAACAGGACTAAGGCATGCACAGTGTGGACACTAGCTCTACTGCTCGACAGTTAAATGATCATCAGGAATCGATGACAGCTACTCATCTACATTAGTCATTGTCACACAGAGATGGATGAATATAGCGAGGAGAAAAATTATTCAACCATTACTGTAAGCGATTCTCAGTGACTGAACAGGAAATCATATGGAAGCACATATTCACAGGTTTCCATTTCACTGTGCACATCAGTCAGGTTCACATTGCAACGCTTCACCCCGAGCTTTCTGTTTCGCTACGTCAATAGAAGCATGTAGAAAACACTTTGATCAGCACTATTATTCACCCGTGCTGTTACTGTAAGACAGGACTGAAAGCACAATGAATCCTTTATAATAATGTCAAGAGGAAGAGAAGTTATAGGTAAGGAAGCACAGAAACAATGGAGTCACAATTAAGGCCAGGCCATCAGAGACAGAGAGAGAGAGGAACTGGACTCTCTACTCGTGTTCTGCGATGATAGAAAAAGGAACAACAATCAAAAAAAGGCTTAGCATGGGAATAACGAAGCTACTAATGCACTATTGTCCGATCCTTCTTCTTATCATCCAGATATGAGCAGGTTTCACCTACATGAACATGCAGACCTTTAAGGTTGGCCTGGCAAAAGCAGAACTGAGAACGCTACATTATACCAACCAGGAAGGTTAAGCAAGTTGAGTACGAAACACAGAACACATCTGCTCTACATTCGCTAACCCTAACGTAAATATAAAGCCAGTTGTGTGGGTGGTAAATGAGTGTGCGCACGCTTCTGCAGACTGCTCACCATGGCTGCGGCGGCTGTGGCCTGGTTCACCTGGTGCTGGGCAGCCTTTATTTTGGCCTGCAGGTGAGCCGGCGGGTGGAAGTACTTGCACTTTTCTCGGGAGCACCGACCCTTGATGTAGTCCATGCATACAGTGACGGTGTTGTCGTTGGTGTCGATCATAGTGCTGTCTGCGGGGTGAGCGAAGCGACAGTCGTTCTCCCCCCGAGAGCAGTTGCCCCTTTGATACTCCCGACAGACCTACAGACAAATGGGATGAGGCGAATGATAACGTGCAGGCTCCATGTCCAAATTCACCACCGCGGGAGAAAACGTTGTACAGAATATTTACATGAGATTTCTTTATTTATTTTTAATTCAAACCTTATTTAACCAGGAAAAATAAGACCTTTGAGATAAAAAAAATCTATTTTACAAGAGTGTCCCAGCTAAGAAAAGGCTCAGTCCAACAATAAGTCGCATAAAAAACTAACACACACACATCTGCCAAATCCACCCAGGCAAAAATTAAAATTAAAACACAAAAACAACCAAAATCTATAAAGTTCACTGTCAATAAAAATGATGACCTTAGTAAAAGTAATAGTCTATGTCCAGTTCACTTAAAATTGCCTTAAATTCAGATTTGCACAGAATACAGAAATAAAATCCTGTTTTATGCACTCAAATCTCAAATATTAATATTATAATACAAATTGAAGTGTTTTTATCTAAACCAGTTAACCCGTGAAATTCTTTCAGCCTGTGCTGAGCCTTCCTCTATCCATCACCACAAGATATATCTGGATACTTCCTGTTCAACTATTAGTGAGATCCTGTAATGCATTCAGAAAGGTCCACACTATGTTGAACCATTTCTACATTAACACAAATACGTATAATCTCATAATACATTTTATCCCCTATACACAGCTATGTGTTGCATCTCAGACATTTGTAAGTACGAGAGACACCAGAGGGCAGCACTTTCTTTTAAATTAGGCACACATAACGGCTGTTGCTTTCCTGACATCAACTCTGCCTTACTCCTGTGAGCGTTTCAGCAGTGTGTGACTGAACATGCTTTATGCCGCGCTATGCTACTTTTGTGACATGATGCTATTAAACACACAAAACTGCTATTTTAAATGGTGGCTGTGTGATATTGACACATAAAAGGTGCTATTTAACGTGACAAAAGTGTAATTTTAGTGCGGTTTGTATACGTTGAGCGCTGATTATAGCTTCAGCACTCTCTTCTAAATAACACGCCTCTGTTGTTATGCTCGTCTTGTGCCATTGTGTGAAACGCAATGAGCGAAAGCACCATCTCCACGGGAACTTAATTGAGATGCAGTTCATCAGGATTATACGAGTGATAAACCGATGACATTTCATCACAGTTTATCAACCTGTTTTTTATTTTCTTTCAGTTTGGTTTCTACTTTGCATAATTGCACCAGCTATTATAATTCAATTCCGTTTCAGAAACTGTTTATGCAAATCAAGTAAGGGCACCATTATTCTTATGCTTGTTAAGCTGCTTGCCATCAATATCTGTCTTGTTTACAGGCTCATTATCATTGAGGTTAACTCTACTCTGACTAACAAAGAGATACACCACGAGGAAGAGTTTGTAATGGAAAGTTTTTCATAGAAGAGATGAGATCACACTCAGTCAGTTTGTGTTTTACCTCAAGTCTGTCTGTTCTCAGCAGTTTCTGGGCTGCAGCGGCAGCGTTGGGGACTTGGCTGACTGCAGGGCTGGAGGCCATGAGGACAGGGGTGCTGGGCAGGATCTCTGGAGGCATCAGGCTTGGTGACACAGGGCTTAAGTAGGGATTAAAGGCTGCAGCTGCAGCTGCTGCTGCGCTTGCATTGGTGGCCAGGCCTGGTGTCACCGAGAACATCGGCTGGAGCAAAACAAAATAAAGGCAGAGGAATTAAAGGACAGCGGGGAGCGCAAACTGCGAGCTTTCCGTAAAGACACGCACTGACATGAAGGGGACTCAAAAGACGGGAAAGAGCCACGCAGACAAGAAGGAGCCATATATGTGTGAGCTTTTACATGTACGTAATCTCACCGTGGGCAGTAGCTGTGGTGTGTTCATACGTGTGTGTCCTCTCACCATAGGTGGTAGCTGCGTGCCAGGCATCATGGCATTGGCGAGCTGCATCTGTTGGGCGAGCATGGCCATATTCTTCTGCTGGATCAGATTGTTCCTGCCATTGATCTCCAGTTGGGTCTTTAGATGGGGAGGAGGGTGCAGGTACTTGCAATTCTCCCTGGAACAACGGCCCTGAGAGGAGTGGAGAGAAGTGACAGCCTTTAACGCCAGATTCAGAAAGATGCTTATATGGCAACAGGGTAGAGACAAACATTATTGACTTTATATTGACTTTAAATTGATCAGCTGGAGTAGTTTGCCTGTGCCAAAAATTCGCAGATTTCAGTGTTTTAAGGTTTATGGCAACATTCTTTTATTGGAATTGACGCTGATTTACATCAACAGTTATTGGTGCCTAATGTCTTGGCAGCTACCAAACTGGCCGTTATAAAATTTGTATAGACATCCATAGTCTTGAGTAACAACTGTGAGGATCGCCAGCTCCTGTACGATCGTCACGATGCCAAGGTTTACCCAGGTAATTGGCCTAACAACCAAATACCTGCTAAACTAATGTCATTCCTAACACTCTCGGCTTGGTGAGGGTGCTAAACATTATATCAGCATTACTTCAAGGCTTGGCAGACTAAAAAAAACAAAAAACCTCTCATTATTCACAAGGGGTCACCACAGAAGCATGGTGTGTTTGATTTGGCAGAATTTTTCAATCCAGACACCCTAAAGGGATTTGTGTCTCCTCGTAGATCTAAACAAGCTTTCACTTGTAAACCTTGTAAACCACTACACTGCGCACCACCTTTTGCATGTAACAATAAAATATGAAAAATGAACACATGGTGCATGTTCAATCTAGTGAAATCCTGCATCCTTGTTTATAGCTACTTCAACGTCAGACACTCAGTTTCACATTGGGTCTGGCCTGAGTCTATCACTAATTGTTAACAGCTTGCTATTTCTGCCAGTCCCAGCTGGGACATGTGTGTATGTGTACACTAGCCCCAGGAGGTCAACTGATGCTGCGCTGCTTTTCTCCAGACATCCAGCTTGGCTACATGTCTAAACGGTGCTAAAAATACCGTCCACTCATATGATCTGTCTATATTATATCAGCAGTCATCCGGAGGTCACGCTTCAAAGCCTCTGAATAATAATCTAAGACAGGGATCCCTTTCTGCTGCCTGTTGCGAGTATCCAATTATATATTCAGTCTGGAGAGGAGTAGTCTAGGAAAAGGTCTGACACACTCAAGTGCATTCTTGTGCAGGCAAGAATGCATATGCATTAATGCATGCACATTGGGGTCAGGTTCCTCTAACAGGTGGCAGATGTATGTCACGCAAACATGAGAGCGCGCACACAAAACACGTCCGCAGTTTAGGAAAGGCGCGTATTTCCTTTCAGCTCTGCGGTACAGCTGATCTGACTGTGCTCTCCCTCACTGACAGAGCTGACCCCACTGGGATTCATTTCTATACTCTGTCATGACTTCATCTCACTTTTCCATCTCCTTTGCTTTCACTGACACTGGAGCACCGGACAGGTGCAAAGGAAACAGGAAGGAGCACTGAGGGGAAATTTAATGGCAGGGGGTCCTTTTGAAGGTATTTTGTTGTATCCACTTGTCTGAAATTGTGATCTCAAGTTCTACTTGGAGCTCCTTTTAAAATGACAGCAGATTGTGTTGCAGAGCAATTAAGACAGATGCATGGACTATGACTACCTACACGTCTCCCTTATGCTCTGTGCCTGCTATCTTCTCTTCTGCTTAGATAACAAAATGGAGCGCACAGATAAGGGGCCTGATATTTTCATTATTTCTCTTTTTATATCAAAAATCTGATGAACAGCTATGAGACAGCACTGTGTCATTCAGAAAATGTGTTAAACTTGCTATGAAATTCTAGCAGTGATAGCAGAGAGTAAATATTTGCTAAAGTTGAATAAAAATGAACATAGGACTCATTTATTTAGTGAGAGGACAAACAGGCACAAAGACAGAGCCATAAGAATGGCTTATGCAGATTAGCTATTCACATTTTATGTCACACAGTGTCAATGAGTCAAAAAATGTGTGGCTATTTCCTAATGCGCAGTGCAAAATAGATGTTTGAATCAACTTAAAAGTTTCATACTGATCTAAAACACATTATACTCTTTTTCTTTTTTTCGTGTTTTTATTCCTTTCATCTTTTATATAGGTGTGTCTTTGAGCAACTGTTAGCCCATGTGCTCAAACATCTAGGACAGGCCAGGCTATATGTTAGCTGAGCTGGCCTCGACAATTCTGACACATTCAATTCATTCATTTTGAATTCGCATTCAGTTTTATTTATATAGTGCCAAATCACAACAACAGTCACCTCAAGCTGTTTTATATTGTAAGACAAAGACTAAACAACCCCTTATGAGCAAGCACTTGGTAACAGTGGGAAGGAAAAACTCCCTTTTAATAGGCAGAAACCTCCATATAACCAGCCCAAGGGAGGAGTGGCCATCTGCTGTGACCTGTTAGGATTAAATGCAGAGTGCTGTATAAACATAAAGTCAGTGGAAAAAGGTGAATGAAGAAGAAACACTCAGTGCACCAGCAGCCAAGGACTATTGCAGCATAACTATGGAGGATTCAGGTCACATGATCCAGCCCTAAATATATACTATCAAAAAGGAAAGTTTTAAGTTCTTAAAAGTAGTGTCTCCAGAAATCTAAACTGGGATAGGCCTGAAAGCCTCCCATTCTACTTTTAAATGCCCCAGGAACCACAAATTAACCAGCAGTCTGAAAGTGAAACGCTCTATTGGGGTGATATGGTACTATGAGATCTTTAAGATAAGGTCTGAATATTCAAGACCTTAAATGTGAGGAGAAGGATTTTAAATCTGGCACTAAAGTGTGTGTTCAAAAAAAGAGGAGCTGAAAGCAGGTTCTAATAGCACTCATCCAGAGAGTGACAACAACATCCAGAGAGGGGAGGGAGAGTGTGTGTG